ATAAACGACCGTTAAATGAAATGATGAATTTTTGAAAGTTTTTGAAAAACTGAAAAAATGATAGTCATGTCGGCCCAGCATCATCAACATCGAAAAATGCCCCGGCATGAAGTGGTTAACGGCTGATACCTGATGGTCTGACAACTGTTCACTCCCCCCTTGAAAATCATTTTGTCACAATTTCTCACAAAATCAACAAACCCTTTGATTTCCACACAAATGGCCAAACACTCAGTAAGTTTTACGAACCTGGATCTGTTTACAAAATAGTGTAACATTTACATTAAGGCAGGTTCCTCAAAATATGGACCATTAGATAATGTTAAACTTTCGGGGTTCATTTTTCCTGAAGTGAACAGCAGTGATTTAATTTCTAATATTTGATGTAATGAGGCAAGTCATGGCTAATATCTGGAACAACGATGACCATGTCAACCTTTCCACTTAATTGGAGTTAATTAAAGTCTCGAACTTTAGCAATTTTGAGGGACATGAACTCCCTCTTAATATCCGAGCAAACAGAATTTACTGAGGAGTTATAATCTCCGAGGTAAATTTTACACAGATTTATATGTGGTGAAAGGTGATATTTACAAACATTAAAACCAAAATCACGAAATTAAAAAGTACCTGAAACAATTAATTGGGTCCCGAAGTCGGCAGTCGCAAACGTCATTCGATTCTGTCATTAGTGTCAAAAAATCGACTGCAAAAAAAGCGAGTAAAATCCATATATCGATGTACATGTACAACTCAAGCTTTAAAAAAGAGTGCAAACGAGAGCTTATCTGTCTGTTTACCAACAGAACAGATGGCTTTTTCGCAATGTTTTGCAATTTTGAACAATTTGTGTATACTGGAAAAGTAAAGGCAAAAATGCATAACAAATCATAAGATGACGTCATGATCATGTCATTAATTTGGAAAATACTTTGCATGTGGGTCGTCATTGGGTGTAAGTTTGATAATGATTGAAGATTGCTGAGTGACCAAAACTGTGCCTCAAAAACGTGTACAAAGTGAATGGGCCGAAAAAATATTAAAAAATCAATAAAAAATTACTTGATGACATCATCATGATGTCATGCATCATCTATGCATAAGGAGTCCTTCATTGGTGTAAGTTTAATGACATTTGGAAGTTGTTTAGGCACTAAAGTGGTGGCCAGAAAAAACGTGCACAAATTAGATGGCCTTTTGGGGAGAAAAAGAAGAGGAAGAAGAGGAAAAAGAAAAAAAAAATCAGAACAAAAAGAATGCCTTTTTTGCAAATTTGCAAAAAAACACCGCCAAACCATCATCCTTTTACGACTGGACCGATCACATTTTCTTGAAGTACATTCCCAAAAACTGCAGTCCAAAATAGCGATTGTGGCAATTTTGCGGCTTCCATCAATCTCTTGCAGTTACGTTAGAGAAACATTTCCCTGCACTGTTGCCTGTTTGACCTTTGATATCAGCCCAGATATAGCGCCCTCTTTTTTATTCAATATTCATTAGCCCCTCCACGGAATGGTGACGCTCAGCGATTTTTCTCTTCGGAACAATTTTTCTCAAAAGAAAATCCGTCATTCTGAATGACATTTGCCAAAAAAATGACGTTCGAGACATAAAATATGATTCACGATGAAATTCAAATGCTCAGAGTTGTTAATTTTAATTTCCTTTTCAGCGGAGTTATCTCCAAAATAAACGGCAAAATGAAAATCGTGCATGGAATTTTCGAGCACTTCATGTGACAGCATTTTTGGCATTCTCGAACGTCATGCAGTTTCTGTCAAAATTCTCAAACGTCATCAAAATTCTGTTAAATATGATGTTTGCAACGAACATATTGTTCTCATTATAAATTTTTGATGCAGCCAAACTTAAAGATAATTTTTGGTGGCTGAAAAATACATGTATAAGACCTGGATAATATGTTGGTATAGTGAGAGTGATTATAAACGGTAAGAGAATGAAGAGAGCCAAACTTTCCTCATCATTTTCCGTCAATTTTGTGCTCTTTTTTGTGGCTTATATTTTTTAAAAGATATTTTTGGGTGCTTTAAAACACATCAGTCGAAAAATATACTGAATTCTCCTTCCTGTTGAAAGAAGTTTTGAAATCAAGTCCTCTGGTGTAAACACTTTGACATAAAACTTTAAATGAATTCAACTCCATTTGATTTGCACTGGTAGCCAACCAAATGTCTACCATAAGTACATATTATGCCTAATTATCCCCATATAATCATTTTTATAAATTTATCTGAAGGTGCTAATTTGTATTTTACATGGTCAAAGTCACTCTTTTAGAAGTTTTGAAAACTTCTAAAAGATTGAAAAATTTGAAAAATGACATCCGGATTTGCATTTTGGTCCATTGTATGAAGAACATGCCTTAAGCTAAAAAGACAATCCTTGTCTTTTTATTCTCAGAAGTCTGTGAAACCTTCTTTATACCTTATCTTTTTCTTCCATTCTGGTTATAAGTGGTCAGTTAATACTGTGTGTGTTTTAAATAGTATGGGAACTCCTTCGATTCAAACAATGCAAGTTTTAGATGTACAATTTTAATTTAATGTACATTGAATATTGGTACTTTCTGAACTGAAAAGAAAAGATAGGAGCTGTGTTGCAATTAGTCAAGCTATCACACAGCTGACAGACGTTGAGAGTACATGTATGTACATGTACGCTCAGTGATGCTGCTGATTTTCTGTAGTGTGGATAGGCAAAATGCTCAAGAATTTCACCATGAGGTAAACAAACCTCCCCATCTGACATCTAAGTTCATCAGGAAGGCACGTATGAAATTTGGTTGCACAAAAAGCTCTGATGGAAGGGTAATGGCACAATCAAAACAGCCAGAATGTGTTTACGGGAGTTTGTACATGTACATGGCAATCTTCAAGGTTTGTATAAACCTTACAGTTCTGAAAGTATATTATTGGTATGAGAATTGTAAACCTACATGTATAGTATAGAGCCTGAAAGTAAAAGGTAACACAATGAGCTTCTGGAACCCCTGCGCCATCCGCGTGTGGGGATTTTACATGGGCCCATCCTATAATTTTTTAAATTTCTAACTGAAACCACCCCAAGAAACACTCATGTCGAAACTTTCCCCTTGTCCTCCTCAAGTAATATTTAAGAAAAGTCATCTGGAGATGGGTGAAACATGAATTTCAAAAACAACCTTTCGCTTCCAGCAGTATGGTTCCTAGGTCTTCATGTTCATGCACGTTTATTTTCATTCCCCATTTTTACGTGAAAACGAGATTGTACAACGTTGCAAAGATTTACCTACCACAGTCAATGGGTTCCATATTCGGTTGAGTTGATATCAAGCAGGTCTCGTCAGCAAGTTAGAATCTTTTGTAAAAGCATGTTATTCAGTGTTATTGCTTTGAGTTTATTTCTTTATAAATTTCAATATCAGGATATTTGGGTCCGTTTTTTATTCTAGCTTTCACTAAAAGACCCCCCAAAAAGGTAACTGTGTAACATTTGTTCTGTTCATCTGCGTACGAGACCACAGAATTACATTTTAAGCCTTATTTATGTATTTTGCATGTTTTGGATTTTCGGAAGTGATACATGTACATGTATCACTTATGTATTCAGTATTCAGTATTTGGCAGGATATTTCTCTTTTAGGTCAGATCATTTTTCAGTTTCCATAAATTGACATGCTTGCAAATATTTTACAAAGGGCCTTTTCAAGAAGTAACTAAACAAAAAATATTACAAATTCTAAAATTTCTGCTGGTTATTTTTCATATCCAAGGGTTCCAGAAGCATGCCATCAAGGGTCAACTCTAGGCTCTATTACAGTAATAGGTCGACCCTGTAGGAGTATGTCACGATTCAGTTTTTACTGCAATGATGTCTTTTGTTAATAAACCATCCATTCATAAACCATCCATTCCTCCATGCTTTATAATAGCTTTTGCTAAATAATTATTAATCTGAATATCATGAACTCGGAGAGAAGTATTTCATACGCTAAACGATTCCGAAGGGGTCACGCTCACTGTCACTTCGCCCATTTTCCACTTCGCCCACAACCACTTTACTAGTATTTACCACTTCGCCCCAACCTATAAAAAAATCACTGGTCAACATACTAAAAATCTAATTTTATACATGGAGTGGAAAGGTGGGTTTACTTACTGTTTCTTCACTAACATTTAGGCCGTTTTCCAATACTCGACTTCGTCTCCGATTGACGCTTCGTTCCGAAAACCAATACCCGATTGTAGGCCTGAATCCAGGCTGAAATTGGCACTAAATTCCGGCCGGATTTTTGGCTGCACGTTAATATTTTTACGGCTGCAAGTAGTCGTTAACACGTACGTAATGGACAGCAATTCTACGGAGGCCGATCACGGCATAGCAGCAAGAGCACAGGAACGCCCACAAACAAAATACAGAAAAAAGCAATGTTAAAATAAATCCTTCGCTGGAATGTATCTTAGCTATGAAACAACGTGAACAACTGAAAATTTGGTTCTTTTATTTCACCAACAGGTGAAAAATGGATGAGAGCGTTAGTACGTCTTGTTTATTTTTGTAGTTTTCAAACTTGAGAATGTGTTGACCCTTTTGAGGTAATTCGACTTTGCAAGGCGCCGTGTCCATTCCTTGGCAATCTTCTTGGTGTTTGTTGCGTCTCTATTCTGTTTGAAAGTGAGACAAGCAATTAAAACACCAGTATGATTTACCGTTGTGATTGCTGAAGTCGCCCATAAATCTAGAGAAACTTTTAATCTAGCAATAGTGAGCCGTTTCACCCAGGCTAAAATAAACTAAATTGATTGGCTCGCCTATGTGTTTAGTTTTTTGAAGTATATAGACACCGTCTTTTCCTGTGTAAACGAATACACTGATCGCTAAGTAGTTTTGTGATTCGATGCGTGAAATCTGTAAAACCGGTGTTGGAAAGTCCACGTTTGTGAAATTTAAACTGTCTGCTGTCGTGTATGTTGAAGTTCTTACCTGGTATCTGGATTGATTTCGAGTTGACTTTCACTTTGTCAGAATATAAGCCTAACGCAGCTCTTAACGCCCAGCGAATGCACTCCGAGGTCTTCCTGTTTTGAACGTTGATGATCGCTGTTTTAACCACCAGTTCTTTAGGCAATGAAATGTAAGTCGCTCCTACAGGGTTATACCGCACCACGTTGATGTAAAACGCGACGACAGTAGTGGGGGGGACTGTTTGGTACACTTTTTATAGTACACTTGTTTATGGTACATTTATTTATGGTACATTATTTATGGTACACTGTTTATAGTACAATAGTTACGGTCCAATGTTTAGGGTACACGTTGACCCATAATTATATATAACGGGTTTGCCCTTACCCAACGTATATTAATATG